GAAATATATAAAATTACATAAAAGGACATGTAGGAGTATGTGTTTCTATAATTAATTAAGGGGTGTATTTGAAAAATTTTAAAAAAGCTCCTAAAAAGCTAGTCTAAGTAGCTTTTCAAAAAGCTAGTTTAAAAGCTACTTTTTGGTTTACCAAACACGACAACATAAAAAAGCTCGAAAAATAAGTTAGCTTATCAGCTAGCTGTGGCGCGCCAAACACAACCAAATATCCTCCCACCTATGTTTCTACCAATCCTCCTATCCATTTAAATGATGATATGTGTCTTTTTACTATACTAAAATATCATTAAATGTTACATTTGTCGTCATTTAATGAGGTAGAAATATTTATAGAGAAAAAAGTAGGAAGATATTTAATTTCTGAAAAAGAAAATATCAATATCTAAAAAAACTTATAACACGTTGACTTTTATGCTGTTTATCTAATTTATTAATAACAAAAAATTTCTTTGAGTAAATCATTTTATTCTTTCAAACAATGACAGTTCATTTTTCACTCTATTCTTCATAATTTCATTCCAATGTACCTACTAACTTTATATTTTTTAAAATAAGATTTTAATATTTATATAAGGCATTAAATAACATGAGATTTTAATATTTATTTAATGCATTAATTAAATTTTTGAACCATATGTTTGATATGATATCTATATAAAGTTATAATATCTATTATAAAGTTATAATAGATATTATATAATTGCCGTTAAAAAAAAAAGATATTATATAATTAACGATAAATTATTATATTTTATAGTATTCAAATGAAGTTGTTTGATATAGAGACTATATCTGATTAAAAAACGGCCCTATGTTTACAATATATAATAATTTTATTTTAATAAAGATGATTATTTCACAATAGATAATCACTCAGAAATTCTTATCCAATCTTTTAATATTTATCACGGAAAAGCAAAAGAAGGCATTTAGATTTTAGATAGGCCACTGAAGCTCATATGATTCTGTGGTGGGTCCCAGCTTTTGTTATCCAACCGTTTGCACGCAACTAAACGACTAAAATTCAAGTTTCAGATACATGGTTTTTCTTTACTTTATTTACAATCAAACTGAAAAGTAAATTAAAATTCTCATGAACAATCAAAAATCATATCCAGAATCCAAAAAAAAGAAACAAGAATTTAAACTCATAAACATAATTAATCAGTGTATATATATATCTCCCAAAATTTCTTGAAAACCTTGCATGAATGTGAAAATCAGACTAAGAATTTAAAAGATAACAGATTAAAGGTTCATCATCTTCTTCACTACCAATCGAAATCACACTTGGTTCTCTCAAAATTCGTAGATAAAACCTTACCTTTAGAACTCAATGGAACCTTCAAATCGCATTCGAATTTGGGTGTGAATTTCGGGGTTTTCGCAAACCAAACTTTAAATCTGATCTTCAATCTCAGCTTCAAATCGATATAGTAAACATCATCAACCTTCTCCGAATCGTATTTCGATTTATCACCACTACCGAGAACCACCAGTTGTTCCCCTTTAAACGCCACACTGACATTATTCTCCTTCTTATGCCCTAAATAAAACCCTTGAACCTCCGCCGACGAAAATCTCTGGCCATGGTAAATCGCGTTGGCCTCGATGTTATCGTAGTAGATCCCTAAACGGCGGTTAGGGTTTCTGAACGTCATATTGACGGCGAGGTTGTAGTAGAGCGTGTTGTTCGTCGGGGATAGCGTGAATCGGGTGAGGGTGGCGTCGGCGACGTGGAATTTAGGCACGTTGGGGCGGAAAATAAACCAGAAGATTACCCCAACGACGGCGAGGAAGATTCCGACGGTGATTAGAATCTGACAGATGAGATTGAAGATGCAACTACAGATACAGCTGCAACAGCAGGTTAAAGGGTTGCAACTAGGTCCGCCGCCTCCGCCGCGGCCAGGGCGGTAGTAGGATTTGGTTTTTGGTTGGATGGGAGGGCCATAGAAGGCGCCGTTGAGGTGGGGTTGTTCCGGCGTCGGTGGCATTATCGGAATCGGAGAAGTTTTGCAGAGAGAATTTGATGGGATGTGGAGATTGGAGTTTAGGGTAGTGGGGGGTTTTGATGGGACTGGGGAGAGGTGAGCGGTTTATGTAAAAACACTACCGAGAATAACGTAACGGGTGACTATTGATGCTTCTTTGTAACTTTCGCTCATCTATGCATTTACACTTGTACATTATGCATTGTCTCTTTGTACATTTAGGGCATACATATACATTATGCTTGTATTGTTGTACATTGTGACTCTTAGTTTTGATTTATTAATAATGTTATATCGTTTAAAATATATTGTTTGAAATCTTTAGTTCCGAGGTTTATGTAGCAACATCGTTATCATATAATACTAAATAAATTTTAGGTTTTTTTAGTCAAAAGATATGGTTTATAATAAGGATTTTAAAATGGTTGTCCAACTTAGCGATCCGTTTTATACTATTATAATAGGGAAAACCTCATAATAACCCCATGTATTATACTCTAATGCTTAAAAAAACCCTATATAATTTTTTTATCTGAATTAACCATGATGCTTTTTAAATTTGATTGTTTTCATGCTTTGTGACCGGTTAGCCCAAAGCTACTGATAACCTTGGAGTCACTCTATACTATGGTGGTGGATGATGTAGCTATAACAGGTAAGTGTTTATGGTGGGTGTTTGGAGGTCCGATGAAGGTTATGGTGATAGTGATATAAGTGTTGACTGGTTGTTTACAATTAAACAAAAGGTGTTGATATAAGGTGGGTAAAATGGAGGTATAAGGGCATCTTCGACTCACCCCCAAACTCCATTTCTTCCCCTATTTTTTCCCCCATTCATCTCCCATTCTTCTCCAACCCTACCCCATTTTCACCTCCATTTTTGGAGATATGAATAATAATCCCCCATATATAAGGGAATACTATTCATATCTTCAAAAATGGAGGTGAAGTTTGGTTGCCAATTTTAGTCTCTCTCATTTTTATTTTATACATTTCTAGTTTATTTTATCTACTAATTATAATTTAAATGCAATATTTAATATTTATAATATCATGTTATATACTAATTTATATTAATTAATCATAAATATAGAGTTCAATTAGTATAGGGGTTATTTGACAATATATATAAGTTATAAAAATAGAATATTCTAGGAATATACTTTTTGGGGTAAAAAATGGGGTAAAAAATGGAGTAGGGTAACCACTATTTCCTCCATTTTCTACTCCATTTATGGGGGAAAAAATGGAGATGGGTTGGAGATGGTCTAAGGGAATCTCCAACTCACCCCCAAACTCCATTTAACCCTACCCCATTTCCACATCTATTTTTGGAGATATGAATAGTATTCACCATCTTAGACCCCCAAAAATGGAGATGGGTTGAAGATACTGGGTGTTACATTTTCTTCATACAGGAGGTTTTAAGGTGGTTTGATGGAAGTGGTTTACGTGTTCTTGGTGATAACAGGTTAAGTCGTGTTCTGGGTGATAACAGGTGAAGTCTACGTGGGTTTGAAGTAATATAAGGTGTAAGGTGGTGGTGATGAGGTTTTATGAAGAAGATGGTGAATAGTACTGGTTGTTCAATTTTTTTGTTCCAAAAACCATCATTATCAAGACCTTAAGCCATCTGCTGCTTCGTTTTCAATTTCCAGCATCCACCATCGAGATTGAAAAAAGAAGAATCAAGAAGTAAGAAGGACACTGTTCATCATCCCAACGAGAACCTGCAACCGAACAAAAAAATCGAGATTTTTTTTTTATTTCCTTCAAGGTTTTGTATCTACTTCCCTCGCTAAAAATGTGTGTTTATCGACAGCCTCAAAGAAAAAACACAGTTTGAATTTTTCTTGTTCTCCTTTTCTTGATTCTCGATGAAGGTGGTGGTGGTTTGTTTTAGATGGCAGAAGGTGGTAGAGATGGTGGCTTCGATGGCAGCAATATGTGGGTTTGATGGTGGTGAACCGGTGGTGAGGTGGGTACGGTTTTAATGGTGATGTCAAGCTCGATCGGTAAAGATGGAACAGGTCTCGGGCTCAGCTGTAAAGACGAAGCAGCAGGTGAAGATCTTGGGTTGGATTGAAACGAAGAAGGCAGCAGAGGTAAGTTTACTTGTTTATTTTCTTTCTTTTGTTCTAGTTAGTTGCAGGTCTAGACGAAGATGACGATGAACAGTTACATATCTACGTATTAAATTAATCAAAATGGAATAATGGGAGTATGATAGTTAGCATGTATCACAAGTTACCGGATAAACTAGAAACATCACACGGTTTGCAAAAATAATAAGGGTTAAATCGTACACAAAAGTAAGAGAAGAGTTTTTTAAGCATTGCGATATAATACATATGGTTTTTCTAGGATTTTCCCATTATAATATTTGTTTAAAAATATGTAGTTAACAGAATTATTAAGTAACAATATCTATACATTTAAATCTATATTTATATCGATGAAAAATAGCTGACAAAAATTATTTTGTACATATTACTTTTTTAATATTTTCAAATTTTACACAATATAATATATTATAAAAATAAGAATTTCATATAAGATAATGACTTGAAAGAGTAACAAACTTTCAACTTTGTTCACATTTTTTCGTGTTTGATTTATAATTAAATTATTTGAAGTTGTTCATATTTTATTCTTATTATCGTTGGGTTTTATGCAAAAAAAAAAAATCTCATTATTTTGGGAAATTTTTTGATAGTCCTAAAAGTTTTTTTTTAACAGAAAAGTCTCGATTATTTGACATTTTGTCCAAATTAACGATTTTTTTTTATTTGAAAAGGAAATGACAGGTTATATGAATTTCCCAAAATAATGAGACTTTTCTGTTCACTAAAAAACGTTTAGGACTTAATCAAATTTTTTTTTCAAAATAATAGAACTTTTCTGCATAAAACCCTATTACCGTCTAAAGGTAAAATATGAGCAATTTCAGAGAAATAATAAATAAATCAAACATGAAAAAAGGTTCAATGACTAATTGCGGACACAATTGAAAGTTCATTACCAAATATCATAGGTCTCTATTTATTTTAAACCATTTTAATCATGTTTTGTTAAGTGAGTATTCAAATTTGTTGCAAATTTGGCTATTACGAAATTATATTTACTACATATAATTTATTTATCATAATTTTTAAACATCACAATAATCATTTTGATTGGTGCTCTTTATATGTAGTATTATCATGTTAAGTACTCTAATATTTCATACATCATAGATATTAGGGGTGTGCATCAAACCGTATAAACTGCCCACACCGCACCACATAAGGGTGGTTTAGAACTAGTATGGTGCGGTTTGCGGTTTGGAATTTTATTAAACTGCACTTCGCGGTGTGGTTTGCGGTTTCTAATTGTAAAACAACGGTTCAAACTGCACCGC